AAGGAAGAAAAAAGGGAGGGAGGGAGAGAGAGAGAAAGGAAGGAAGGGAGGGAGGGAGGGACAAAAAGAAAGGAAGAAAAAAGAAAGAAAGTTGCTGCCCTTAAGGAGTTAGCATTCTACAAAGGGGAAATACAATATATTTACAGACAAGTAAATGCACTACATAGAAAATAAACACAAAATAATTGGGGTGAGGTTGAAGAACTACCATCTGAAGGAGTCAGGGAAGCCCTCCGGTGGGAGGTGTCCTTGAGCTGACTCCTGGAAGGAGCTGGAGACTCCAAGCAGAGGGAGAGCAACGTACGGACAGTGGAGAGCCTTGTTGACAAGGCTGAAGATGGAAAATGAAAGGGACTCTACAGGGAACAGGAGAAAGGCCTGTCTGTGTCTGGCACTGCGTTCATGAGGGAGACTGACATATCATCTTCCCGAAAAGACGCTGGATTGTAAAGGGGTTTAAATGACAAACAGACGAGCCTGTATTTGAACCTGGGCCACAAGAAACCACTGAAGCTTCTTGAAATTTTATTAAGTGCCTACTATGTACCAGGCACTGCAGGATATAAAACAAAGGCAATCAGGGGACACATGTTCCCCAAAGTGGAAGGGGTAACACATCACTGGGCAGCTGGGTGGGGCAGCGGATGGAGCACCAGCCCTGGAGTCAGGAAGACCTGAGTTCAAATCCAGCCTCAGACACTTACTAGCTGTGTGACCCTGGGCAAGTCACCTAACCTCTGCCTTAATCCACTGGAGAAGGAAATAGCAAACCACTCCAGTATCTTTGCCAAGAAAATCCCAAATAGGGTCATGAAGAGACTGAAAAACAACTGAAATACAATCACACAACAGCCAACACTTACCTAGCTGGAGTGGGTCCGTGGAGGCAGCAGAGAAGTTCTGGGCACCCCTCTAGCCAGAGCTGGGTTCCAGGGCTCAGGACTGTCCGGATCTGACCCCACCCACCCCTAAGTGGGCAGATCCAGAAGCATGGGTTCTCCAGTGAGAGACCCTGCTCTCGATCCCTCCATCACAAATCAAGTCCAGAGAGAAGGGTTGATGATGGAGTCTGACCCTGGCACTGGGGGGAATGCGGTACCTACCTTTCCACTGGCCTCTTCTGAGGAGATGAGGAGGAGGAAGAGAAAGACGAGGAGGAGACGGTGGAGGAGGACCCAGACTCGGAAGAGTCTCTCCTGGAAGAATTGGACAATTTGGGGTGAGGCGCTTTATAGGATGATACCAGCGTCAGACAGTGTGGGAAGATCGCTGACTCCAGAGTAAGAGGGCCTGGGTTGGAGTCCCGCCTGGGATGCTCATGACTCATAAGTCTCACAGGACCTTGGGCAAATTCCATCCCCTTTGGGCTCCATTTTCCTCACATGTAAATGAGGGGGGTAGGCTGGACTATAAGACCTCAATGGCCCCTTCCACCTCTGGAATCTCCAGAATCTCTCCTGAAAGAATGGAATAGTTCGGGATGACATCAGCACCAGACCCTGGGTTCAAATTCCACCTCTGTCACTAACTACCTTTAGTGAACCTTTCTGGGCCTCAGTTTCCACAGCTGTCAAATGAGGGGATTGGACAAGATGACCTCTGTGGTCTCTTTTGGGAGAAGTCCCCAAAGGAAAGCCAGAGAGAGGCCTCAAATGAGGCTGTGCTGGGAGTAGTCAATGGCCCAATGGGGCTATCTGAGGGCTGAAGGGCACATGGTAAGTGCTTGTTGAATTGAATTATTGCTCTGGTGATGGATGAATGAATGAATAATGGCCTAAGGATGATACTAGGGCAACATTATGGAGGGGGATCCACCCATACGGCAAAGGGGGCATTCGTGGTTGTATAAACTCTGGTCTATTTGCTAAACAACCAATTAATTATCTTATTATCTCTAAGAGAGGCAGTGTGCATACTGGATAGAGTGCTAATCTTGAAGCCAAGAGGACCTGGGTTCAAGTTTCACCTCTAAGACATCCTGGCTGTAGGACCCTGGACAAGTCATGTATCCTCTGAGTGTTATACCAGCCCCAAATGGGGTATTGACCCACAGTTTAAGAAGTGCTGAAGGGTCGTGAGTGGAAAAAAATTTAAGAATTTCTAGACAACCATCTAATACTATAAAGTTGTAGGGAAGGTGCCAACCTGTTGGTAGAGGAGTTCCTCACCTGAGACCTCCCCAGCTATCCATGAATCACAAGTCCAGTCACTGTCCCTAAGATCCCTAAGATCTCCTTAAACACTAGAAGGAGTGTGGCATGTGCCATTCACCTGAAGCGGGTGTGACCAGGACAAGATTTATACATAAGTGGGTGGGGCTCTGAGAAATAATAATGGCAAAAACTCATAACAAGTCAATGAATTGGGGAGTGTAGGTGTTATTATCTGATTTTGCAATGGAGGAAAGTGAGGCACAAGGAGGTCACTAAGGTAGAAGAAGCTAGAACTCAAATACAGGTCTCTCACTTCCAAATCTAGTAGAGTTCTCCCCATACCATACTGGTCCAGCATGGATAGTGATGGGACACAAATTTGGTCTTGATACCTACATCAGGGAAAATCAAAACAGAAAAAGAAAACTGTGGACCAATATCGAAAGTGATGGGGGGGCAAGGACCAAAAGGGGGGTCCCAATCAAATTACTGAGATTCACAGATAGTGGTGTCATTATCCCCTTCCTGGCAATATACCTGTCCTTGGGGTCTTCCCTTGGGCTTTTGCTCTGTGGGGAAAAAGCCCCCAGTGGTTTCCAGTCAGAAAGGTCAACATCTTGCTCTTTCTTCTTCCCTTTTTCTCTTTCCATCGATTTCTCCTTTTTGGGGGTCTCAGGGGCATCTGGAAGGAAACAGACAGTGCTGTCACCTAGGTGTAATCCCTGGTGTGTCTTAAACAGCCCTCTTCACAGGAGGCACTTGATAAATGTTCACTGAGTGAATTCACTGCCTCAGTTTCCCCACCTGGGAAATAGGAATGGGGATGTAAGACAGCCAGGAGAAATCAGACCTAGCTATAGATGGAACTGCTCAGCAGACAGAAAGCGCCCCCTAGTGGCCACAATGGTTGGATGAGTTTAGAGCCCCCAAGCTCATGGGGCTGACTTCAGGTCAATGAGGGTGCCCAAACACCAGCCTGGGTAGTGGGGCGGAGTGGGGAAACTGCCTGGAACAAGCATGGGTTATTCTGGCTGAAGTTAGAGGTTTCGTGTGGGCTGGAGACGAGCAGAGACATCTCAGATTCCTGAGGACTGGAGAGTTGGAGGGTGTGGAGACAGGGAGAGGAGAATTTCGAGGCCCCATCTAATTAGAAGGGGATAAATAAATTAACACCAATCCTGGCACTTCAAAAAAAATCATCCAAGAGCTTATCTGATTTTACAGCCTAGAAATACACCTATTCCTTTCCAATGCAGTAGCCAAAGGCAAGAGATTCAGAAAATCTCAGTTGGATTCGCTGTGCCTCAGTTTCCTCATGAGTAAAATGAAGGGGCTGGAGGACTAGATGACCGGTGAGGACCCTTCTGGCTCTAAATCTATAGTCCTAGGATGTCAGAGATCATTGGCCTCTGTTTGAAGATCTCCAAGATAAGATGGAGAGTCCAGGGCAAGAGTATAATGGACCACAAGGCAGGTTAGCAATATGGATCCTGGTCTCAGGGAGGGCAAAAGAGAGCTGTTCAGAGCAGATGTCTGATAGGGAAGCAGTTAATTGGCTCAGAGGACAGGAAAACCTGAGTTCAAATCTAACCTCAGACACTTAGGAGCTTTGTGACCCTGGGTAAGATCCTCATCTGTAAAATGGGGATAATAGCACCTACAGCCCAGGGTTGTCTTGAGAATCAGAGGAGATATTTGGAAAGTCCTTTTGCAAACTTTAAAGTACTCTATAAATTCTAGCTATTATTATTATACGCCAGAAGAAGTCAAGTTAGCTCAAGTAAGAACCATGGACATCAGTCAGGGGAGGAAAAGGAGAGAGGTCATCATGGGGAGGAAACGGATGGAAAAAGTAGTATGGAAAGGAAAAAAAGAAACAAGCATTTATTAAAAGCCTACTATGTGCCAGGCATTGTGCTAAGGAAAAGAGGAAACAAGCATTTATTTAGAGCCTACCATGTGCCAGGCTCTATGCTAAGGAAGGAAGGAAACAAGCGTTTATTTAGAGCCTACTATGCACCAAGCAATGTACTAAGGAAGGCAACAAGCATTTATTTAGAGCCTACTATGTGCCAGGCATTGTGCTAAGGAAAGGAGGAAACAAGCATTTATTTAGAGCCTACTATGTACCTAGCAATGTACTAAGGAAGGAAACAAGCATTTATTAAGTGCCTACTATGTGCCAGGCATTGTGCTAAGCAAGGAAGGAAACAAGCGTTTATTTAGAGCCTACTATGCGCCAAGCAATGTGCTAAGGAAAGAAATAAGCATTTTTTAAGAGCCTACTGTGTACCAGGCTTTGTGCTAAGGAAAGGAAGAAACAAGCATTTATTTAGTGCCTACTATGTGTCAGGCACTGTGCTAGTCAACAACTGGGGAGGTTGGAGCAGATTCCCTGTATTAAGAGGGGGCATGTCAGCAGGCCAGGGACAAAGCCTAGGTCTAAAGAGGGTACCCCAGGCAGGGCTGGCAAGGCTGGATAGGCAGGGACCATCTAGGCTCCCTAGATTAATGGGAGGGGTCTGCTGGGTGAGCCCTCTCTCCATGCTATAATCAGTTATCAACTAGAGATCACAAAGGGAGGGTTAACAGCTATCTGGCTAATCCAAACCTTCATCTCCACCTGTCAAAATCCTTCAAGGCCTACAGGAGAAGTAGGCCTTCTCCTGCCATCTCCTCCAGGAAGCTTTCCTTGATTCTAAATTCCCCCTCAAACACACACTCACACCCACCCCAAATGTCCTTAGTGTAGTTTGTATGAATTTTTTCTTTGCTCCTATCAACTAGTAAAAATAACAGCTAGCTATATATAACACTTTAAGGTGGCAAAGGACTTCTTTACACATTATCTCACTTGACCCTCATGACAACCCTGTAAGGTATATCATTCCCATTTTACAGATAAGGAAATTAAGGCTGACTTGCCCAGGGTGGCATAGATAGTAAGTCTCTGAGTTAGGGCTGAAACTCTTCAGAACCCCGCAGCTGTCTGCGTGCCCCCATACTCCCTCCCACTCTGAGGACAGGACCTGTTTTGTTTTCCATCTTTGTGAGCCTAACCCTCAGCATTGTCGATCCTTTGTCGGGGCCTCCCTCCCTCCCTAACCCGTTACAGGGGCTGTTTCAAAGCAGTCACACTGACATATGGGGATTTTCTCTCTGTCCCAATACCCTAACTCTCTTGTACTAATAAACAATGAAATAATTCAAGGAGGGATTACTAGGAGAAGGAAAACCAGGAGGACCAGAGACAGCCAGGCGCAGATTAAGCTAAGAGCAGAAGGGCCCTCCCCTCCCTGGCCAGGGCCTGCACATTGGAGGGACCCCTACAGCTCCACCCTGCATCACAAACTGCCTTGGAAATAATGACTCAGGGGGAGGCTGGGAAGGTCACTTAAGGGTGTGTTACCACAGGGCCCCATCTGCTCTTAATCTTCTCCTGGACTGAAGTCCATTAGAGAACAACAAAAAGCCCGGACCTAAGAGGCAGGAAGCTCTTGTGACCTTTGGCAAATCACGTCATCTCAGTGAAAGTCAAGTTTTCTTTTCTCGGAACCTCAGTTTTCTCCATCTTTAAAATGGGGATAAATATAACTGCCATTACTTCTCTCACCAGGCTGTTGTGAGGACAGCGCCATAGAAATGTTAATGTTGTAGCTGTCCACAAAGTAGATAAACAGATCATGAATAATTTGTCTGTTGTGTCTTCTGTGGAACCTGGAAAAGTTTGTGCTGTATGCTGAGGGACCCCAGAGAGCCAGAACTAGGGATATATATACATATAGATATAGATATAGACATGTATATATATGTATATTATATACATACATACATATATACATACATACATACATATATATAGGGCAGGTGAGCAGAGGATATGTGAGTATGAGTATATTTGAGGTGGAAGATTGTACAGTCCGGGCCCCCTCCCCTCAAGCCTGGAGGTGGTCTGTGCTCAGGATGAAGTGGGAGACAGAGGTTACTATGTGGTCCAGTATGTGTGTGTGTGGTACAGCTCACAATTCTGCCCCCACCCAGCACCCTGAGGCAAATGCCCAGCTAGGGGCCACAGTGGATAGAGCTCTGGGCCTGGAGTCATGAAGACCTGAGTTCAAATCCAGCCTCAGACACTTACTAGCTGTGTGACCCTGGGCAAGTCACTTCACCCTGTTTGCCTCAGTTTCCTCATCTGTAAAATGACCTGGTGAAGGAAATGGCAAACCGCTCCAGTATCTTTGCCAAGAAAACACCAAATGGGGTCACAGAGAGTCAGACACAACTGAAAAATGACTGAACAACAACAAATTATGGTTCTTGGTGTGTGATATGTGCACATATGGTGTACCATGCATGCATGGATTTCAACCTCAATGTGCCTGACTGCTTAGTACTTGGATGGGAAACCAATATGGAACACTGGATGCTGCAGGTGGGGTTTTTGTTGTTTTTCTGAGAGGCACCATAGCACAATGGATAAAACAATACTAATAGCTAGCATGTATATGGTGCTTTACAAATATAATTCTCACAACAACCCTCTAAGGTATATTATCCTCATTTTACAGATGAGGGAACTGAGGCAGGCAAAGGTTGAGTGACTTGCCCAGGGTCACACAGCAAGTAAGTTTCTCAGGCCAGATTTGAACTCAGGTCCTCCTGACTCTAGGGCTTGGCACCCTATCCACTGCACCATCTAGCTGCCCATGTGTATATGTATGTATGTATGTATGTGGCTAAAACAGGGAACTAATACCTACTTTTGGACCAATAAAATAAATAAATAAAATTGATCTCCCCGCTCCCAAGTCTTAGAGGACTCTTTAAAGGACCACCTAAAAGACTCTGAGACATAGGGCCCTAGCCCTGCCAGGGACTGAGGGATTCTGACCCCGGGAGATGGTGGGTGCACCGAAGGCTTCCCTCACCCAGAAGACGTTTCCAGTTCCTGATGAGAACTTTGGCCAATGCCACTACCTCCTTATCCACGCAGTGCTTACGGACCCCATTGACGGCAATCCCAATCCTGGTGGTCTGGAAGAAGAAAGAGATTCAGGAATAGACTCCAATCTCCATCCCAGCCCTACTTGGGATGAGGCTAGGGCAAGTATTTGACAAAGGATGCTCAGTAAGGTTGGAGAAGACATATTCGCATTAATAGCTGCTCTACCTGCCCAATACCCATCTCCCAGGCATGAACACTGATGAAAGCTCTGACCCCCAACACTAGCCAATAACTGAGATGTTGGACCTTAACTTCCCATCTCCAAGCCTTTGCACAGGCCATTCCCACCATGCCTGGAATGCACTCCTTTCTTACTGCTGCCTAGTAGAATCCTAATTTTCTTCAAATCTGGTGCTAGGGGCTACTTCCTGCATGAACCCTTCTAGATCTCCCCAGCCACTAGTGCTCCCATTCCCCTAAATTTACCTTATATGCACTTTTATCTACACAGGTTCTCGGTAGAATGTAAGCTTCTTGAGGTCAGGAGCCCACATCCCCCTGGGAGAAATAACAGGAATTTTTTTTTTTTTTTGCTTTGTGTCTCTAGCACTCAGCATAAGGCCGGTCACATATTAGTTGATAAGCATTGATCAAAGGCCTGAGCCCCAACAATGCCCAGTAACTAAAGGCCGGATCCCAGCACTAGCCAAGGCTTGAGGCTCTGCTGTCATCCACAGGACAGAACCGAGAGTAAGAACAATACCCCTTTAGAAATACTGTCCTGAAGCCAAAGAATTGGCCTGGGAAGAAGAACTCTGAGAACACAGGGGCTTCCCTGGCAAAGTCAGGCCCCACAGAATGTGGGGCCAGACTGGGGAAGGACAGGGTGCATTGTAAAAAAAAAAAAATGCAGCCTCTGACCTTCCCTGGAAGGGAGCCTGACCTGGGAGTGCCCAGTTCTGATGCTAATTATTTCCCTAGGGACTAGATTCCCAGGATCCCACCCACAGAGTTTCTCAACATGGAGAGGGTGCTCAGGCTCCCTCTACCCAGAAGCCCTGCTATAGGGCCTCCCCACCCAGGCTTCCACCTGTGGGGCACTCTCACCCAGATTCTCTCCTTTAGGGCCCACCAAATAGAATATACCATGGAGATCACCTTCCCCCTTCTCTCCTCTCTGTGGCTGTTTCTACCCAGGCCCTCTCTCATAGGGGCCCCTAAACATGAGATATCCTCCCTCAGGACCTTTCCTGTGGGGGCCCCCTCTCTTCTGCAGGGTCTCCCTCCCCAGGATGTCTCCTGCTGCCCCCCACCTCACCCCTTCCTGGCTTTGTCCCATAGGGCTTCTCTCCCATGATCTCTCATGCAGGGCCCCCAAACGTGATCTATCTTACAGCTCTCCTTCCCCCTCCCCACTCCTTTTCTCTTGAAAAGTCCCTTCCTCTCCCAGGCTCTCTCCTTGCAGGGCCTCCCAAACCAGGTACTAGACCTGTCAAAAACTGCCCACCTGTAGTAACTGTATTGACATCTTGTAGCCATTCAGTTTCTTCAGGAGATCCAGGGCTCCTTCCTGAAGGAGAGCACCGAGTCAGTATTATGTACCCCAAACCCAGGTGAATTTCAAATGATCCCTGATACAAGTGGGGTAAGTGGAGGGTGCCTCAGTTTCCCCACCTGTAATAATACGCCCCATTTCAATAACATTTCTTCACAACAACCTAGTGAGGTGGATTAGGGTAAATGTAATTCCCATTTTACAGGCGAGAAAGTCAAGGCTCAAAGCTGTGGAACATATCATGGATTAACAAAGCTAGTGATTTTTCAAGGGTCAGACCCCTAACTGTTGTCTCCAGACTCCCAAATCTTGTACTCTCCCATCTAACCTCATTGGTCCTCTCAACTGAAGGGGCTGGATTAGACAGTCTTTGAACAGAAAGGGGTACAGGAGAGCAGCGACATGAGAGCTATCTCCAAGCATCTGAAAGGCTGTCAAATGCCCCGAGCACGAATCCTGCTTCTCATTCAGGATTAAACCTGTGTGACCTTGAGCAAGCCTTCCCTGGGCCTGGTTCCTGATTCGGCAAAGATGGCGGCTGTATTAGATAGTTCCTGAGGGCTCCATCTCAGCTTCAGATCTGTGGTGCTGTGTGGAGGTGGGACCAGATGTGTTCTCTCCACAAAGGATAGAAAGAGCAGTAACGCATGGAAAAGGCAAACGAGCAGACTTAGGCTGGAAGTTAGGGAAAACTCTCCAAACAGGAGAGTTCTCCGAGGAGTGAATTGAGGGCTTCAAACAGAAACAAATAAATGTTTTGTGGAGTGGGGATTCCTTTTCAGGTCTAAGTTGAATTTGATGGGTTCTACCTAAGAAATCCCCTCCCAAGGCTATTTTACACATCTCTTATCACAGAGGCAAACAGGCTCACCTCCTCTCACTCCAGGAAGGAAAGTCATCTATAGCCTCAGCTATCCTTGAACCACAGATCCCAGCCCCAAGTATGGCTTTCTCTCCCTCTCTCTCTTTTTTTTTCCCCCCAGAAAAAACAGGTCTGCCAACCAAAACATTCCTGGTGGGTTCCTTGGAAATTACTCTAAGGAGTCTCTCACGGGGCCTCTATCCATTTTCAGAGTAACTATCATTAAATACAAGGTCTTAAAAGGAACGAAGAACATGTAATAATCACAGCAGAAAAGTACCTTGGACCATAGAATATCAGGGCTTCGAGGGGTCTTAGAACACAGAATGTCAGGGCTAAGCTGAAGACACACAGAGTGATTTTAGGGCCTAACGTGTCAGAGTTGGGAGGAGCCTCAATTTCATGTATAAGATAAAAATTCTGGACTAAAATGATTTCTGTCTGTCCTGATTCTAAAGCTGCTAATTCTAGGACCTTGGAGATTATCCAGTCTAGGCCCCTCATTGTGCAGAGGTGAAGTCTGAGTCTGAGAAAAGTCACTTGCTCAGTCATTCAAGTTAACTTGCGGAGTTAGTGTGTATCTGTCCCATGTGATTTGTGCACATGAATATGCATGATTGCTTCAGTTCATATATGTAGCTGGATTTCTATGTGTAGGTGACCAGGTAAATCAACCAGTTTATTAAGCAACCATACTAAGTTCAGATCCCTTAGGTACTAGGAGAGATACAAAGTTTAGACAAGACATAATCCATGCCTTCCAAGAGCTGGGGGGAGAGATTCACACACAGATAGATTAAATCTGTGTTATTATTAGTAGAGAAAACTCCCTCCAGTGATACAGGTTAACATCATCTCTACAACTCATAGAGTTGACTAAAGAAAGTAAAATGACTCGTCCAAGGTCACCTAGCCAGTATCAGAAGACTCAAACCTAGGTCTTCCAAACTTCAAAGCTATCTGCTTCCCCTGCTAAAAAACTTATGTGATGAATACAACTGAGGGGTGTTTTGAAAATGGGAAATCAAATCTAGTGGGAAAAGGTAAAGAGGGGAACAAGGCAGACTTGGAGAAGGGGCATGAGTTAGGTTATTTCAATAGGAACATGGTTGGGGAGTGTGTGTGTGTGTGTGTGTGTGTGTGTGTGAGAGAGAGAGAGAGAGAGACAGAGAGAGAGACAGAGACAGAGACAGAGACAGAGAGAGAGAAACAAGGGCCTTGGATCTATCTCCATTGGTTGATGCTTAGGGTAAGCTGAGGCAGTAATGTACCAAGCAGGAACATCTGAATTTTACTCTGGAGCAGTATTTAGCCAGTAAAGATTTTTGGTTAGAAAAACGCCATAGTCAAATCTATGAATAAGGAAGATAATGACTGGTGGTCATATAGAGGATATCTGGGAGGAGGAAAGACCTGGCTCCACGTCAAACGGATGACTCCGGGAACGTTTTCTTCTCTAACGTCAACCTGATGGTAAAAAGACCACAAGCCAGACATGGGCTGATGAGTGGAAAAGTAAAGTCTGGGTAATTTCGTGACTGGTGAATTGGCCAACCCTTTGGAAGGGCCAGACCCAGAAGCTGTGGCCAAGGTAAACGTAAGTTTATAATGAGACTGACTGATTGAGTCCTGCAGACTGTATAAAGCCTGCATTGTACATGGAACACCAATTGGGATTATCCTAGCACCTCACCCTGTTGGGCAGCCTGAGATGCTTTCATATGGAAATACCTCCTTTGGGGACCAAATCCTTGACCAGTTAATTCTCACTGTGACTGTAGGGTATAGAGGAAACTTCCAGGCCTCCACAATTAAAAACTGGGAAATAACCAGAGATTTTAAACCACACTCATTAGCTGGCCACGTTGAAACTCAAAGAATTTGGGGCTGAGTCAGAATCACAATCAGAGGCCACCTCTGAGCCTCAATTTCCTCATCTGTAAAGTGAGAATAATATCTGTATTGTCTACCCTCACAGGAGTTATTGTGACTCTAATGAGTTCAGATATGTGCTACATCAATGTCAGTTAATAATTATTATTCCATTCCACTGACCTGGATCACGTGGCACTTTCTTAACCAGGACTTTGCTCCATTTCCACCCTCCCCCCCCACTTCATGTTTTATTCAATAGCTACTGTGTTTAAAGTAAACAATGGCTAGGGGGTCCTGGAGACCTAGGTTCAAGCCCAACTCTAACACAGGGTGGGCAGAGTGACTGAGAGTCTTTAAGCCCAGATAGTGCATTACAAAGGAGTTGTGCAACTGCATTAGTGAATGGGGTTTCCACATCGGGATTTCTCCAAACAGATAAACCACAGGCTTCAACAGCACACTCCCCCTTCCAAAAAACTCTCACTATGTATGTCTATATAGGTGTGTGTTTACATATGCATAAGGCACTATTAGATTCTAGAAGTACAAAAAGTCTCTATTCTCAAGGTACTTAACAATTCTAGTAGGAAACATGGCCTACAGGGAAGTAAATACAAGGTAATTTAAGGTAGCGCTGAGCAATCACACCTGAGGATATTAGGAAAAGTTTCATATTACACTGGGCTTTGAAGAAAGAGGCTCCAGAAAGGCAGATGGACCAGGGAGTGCATCCCAGGCCTGCAATGATGTGAGAACACAATGCTCCTTTTGGCCAGCAGAGAGGGAATGACCCGTAGTACAGTAAAATAAAGTTGGGGAGGCATTAATCTTACAGACCAACTAGTTCAACACCCCCCCACCCCACTTTACAGAGGAGTAAACTGAGGCCTGAGAAAGTGACCTATAATAAATGGTACAACTCTAAATCCAATAGTCTTTCCAGGGCATCAGATGCCTCCCATGGGGTAGAGCCACCTCTGTGGAGGGCCTTTAAATGTCCACTGAGAGACAGCACTTTCAACAGGGCGGTGGGTGAGAAGCCAGGCTGCAAGGGGAAAAGCCAAGGGGTGATAAAAAGGCAGAGGCTGCCAGTGCAGAGACACTTTTCTAGGCGTCTGGCAGCGTTGGAGAAGACAGAAGAAAAGGATTTGGCATTCAGAACTGCCCTAAAGAGAGACATCCTTCCAACTCAGCTTTCCTCACTTTACTAAATGAGTGCTGTAGACCAGCCGGGTGAAAACGCGGGCTTGCGCTAGGATGCGATGGATGGAGGGAGATGTGTACGTGTGTGTATGTGAGTGTCTGCGTAGGCATGTTCCACAAACAGCCCACTTGGAGCCGGAGCTGCAACGTGGTCGAACTCCTGTCTTATTACTAGGGGAAACTTTACCCCTCCTTCCTCTTTCCAGCCACCAGAGCAGACCCCACCCTCTCTGCTGGAAGCCTGAGTGGGTGCTGACACGTAGAGGGAAGGAGGCGAGGCTAGATATACCCAGCCCCTCCTGGGCTCCCTCATTCCCCAGCCCCTCCCAGGACCCCGGAGAAATTGACAAAGAGGGAGTTCCCGCCTTGGCCCAGCTTCCCAGAGCTTGTTGCCTGTTGCCAAGCGAGATCCCACCCCCTTCCCCAAAAGAAGAGGGTGGGACACCAACGCCCCCGGCCAGGGGACCTCTCCACTCAGCTCCACCCCGCCCCTGCTGGGGCCTCGGGGAGCCCCCAGCTCGGCCCCCGGCCCGCTCCGGCCCCGGCCAAGTTTGTTTTGGCTGTCTGAGCCGAGGCAAAGAGCAGATGGAAAGTCAAACATTAACTCCCAGCTGGGCCGCGGCTCAGCTCCCGCTCTGTCTGGCTCCAAATTTGGGAGGGGAGAGGGGGAAAGAAAGGGAGTGTGTATGTGTGTGTGCGCGCAGGCTAGAGGTGGGGGAAGGGCCAGGCTCACTTCCCCTAAAGGAATCTCAGTCTCCCCTTTCCCTCGGCAACCCGCTCCCCCCAGCCCCTCCCCCAGCCCGGGTCGCTCCGCGCCCCTCCCCCCAGGGATAGAAACTTTCTTCCTGCTTCCCCGCGCCTGCTCCAGGCTCTCCGGCGGGCGGGTTGGAGCCGCTTGGCCCCGCGCCCAGCCCAGCCGGGCCTCCCCCTCACCACTCCCCACCACCCCCAGCTAGGACGGGGGCTGGGGCCCCGATCGAGCAAGCTATATCTGCCCAGCACCTGTTCTGCCTTTCCCCACCCCACCCCCAGCCCGGACTATGGCCCCCGGCCCAGGGCCCCACCCGGGGCCTGAGCCAAGGGCTAGTTTCGGAGAGCAGCCCGAGGGCCCCTTCCCCCTTCTCCACTCCCCCTAGTGCCTTCCCGCCGCACCTCCCCTTCTCCTTCCCCCTCCTCCCATCCCGATCCGATCCAAACCAACAAATATTTATTAAGCGCCTACTACACATGCCAGGCCCTGAGCTGCAGGCTGGGGGCTGGGGAGGGTAAGTAACAAAAGCGAAACAAAGTCCTTGCCCTCCGGGGGCTTCCATTCTGCCTCGCGCGCGCCCTTTCTCCCGCCCAAGCCTCCTCCCACCGCTGTCCCTTCTTTGGTCTTCCCGCGCCTCCATTCCCGGGGCCGCCCCCCCCAATCCCCAGCCCGCCACGAGGGCAGGGAAAGTTTCCGAAGGAAGCCCGCGGCCCCCTCCCCAGCGCCCGGGAAGGCGCGGGGCCCGCCCGAGGGCTGGGAAAGTTTGCGAGCGCGCGGGTCCCGGGCTGCGGGGAGGGGCGGGGTCCGGGGGTCCCGGGGCCGGCGGCGTGGCGGGGCCGGGGGCTGCGTGCAGCACGGCGCAGGGCATGGCAGGGCAGGGCAGGGCAGAGGAAACAGGGTCTCTGCGCTGCTCCGCTCTGCTCTGCCCGGCGCCGCTCTCCTCCTCCTCCTCCTCCTCCTCTTCCTCCTCCTCCTCGCGGCGCTCCCGCGCCGGCTCCGCTCTTCTCGCTCCCGGGCGGCCTCACGTCGGGGCGCCTCCGGGGCTCCGGGGCTCCGGCGCTCGCGCTCTCGCTCTCCTGCTCCGAGCCGGGGCCCTGGGGGCGGGCGGGGCTGGGGGGCTGCTCCCCGCCTAACCCAGCCAGAGCTCACCGTGTTCTTCCTGGACACCATTTTATCCAGTTTCTTGGCGATTCTCAGCAGCTCCTCTTCCTGCCCCATGCTGGCGGCGTGTCCTCGGGCTCGCGCGGGCCGGGGGGAGGACGAAGATGCGGCCCGGGCCCGGCCAGGGGGTCTTCTGCCTCCGTCGGGCTCCCAGGTCGGTGGCCAAGGCTGACAGCTCAGCACTGACACCCAGCAAAGGGGGCGGGGCGGGGGCGGGGCCGAGCCGGGGGGCGGGGCTCCTCGGGCCCATTGGGCTGCCCCGCAGCCGCAGCGGCCCCGGCCGGCCCCCCCCCCCCCCGGCCTGCGCGAGGGGAAGCTAATTATAGGTTTCAAGGACTAAGGAGGGCAAAGATTGCAGCCTGCCCCGCTGGCCGCGCGGGAGGGGCGGGGAGGAGCCCCGCGCAGACCTTGCCCCTCGCCCCTTCTAGGAAGGTGGGGAGTCGGGGCGGAGGCCGGGGGCTGAGGACCGGGGAGGAGCCCAGGGTCACAGATTTGGGGCTGGAAGGAGCCTGGGAGAGAGAGCATCTGTCCCGAGGTCCACGGCTTCAGGAGCGCCGTGCACTTAGAGGGGGGAAAATGTTCCATCTTTATTTTCCAGGAATTGGTTTTCTTTGTAACCCTGTGGATTTGTTTTCTGCATCTAAAATTATTCCGAGAAGAAGTCCGTGGGCTTCACCAGGCTGCCTGAGGAGTCCAGGATACACACACACACACACACCCCTCTGAATCTAGGGTTCCAGTAAACGAGCACACTCCTGATTGTAGGGGTCCAGGATGCACACACACACCTATCCTAGGATATACACACTCCCCTGAATCTAGGGGTCCAAGATACACATACCCCTCTGATCCTAGGGGTCTAAGACACACACACACACATAGATTCTAGGGGCCTGGGATACATACAAACCCCTGATTGTAGGGGTCCAGGATACAGACACACCCCTGATTCTAGAGGTCCAAGACACACACACACACACACACACACACACACACGAACTCTCCTGTTCTAGTCTAACACTCTCATTTTCCAGTTGAAATTGAGATTTAGTGGTGGAGGTAGAATTAGAACCCAGATCCTCCACCTAAATGCATCTGTCTTTCCTAATGCACCTGGCCCCACTCAGCACAATAGGAATTACACCTGTCTGTCTATAATTCTTTGAAGTCTTTGCACAGTCATCCTGTGAGCTGGATGAAGAGTGATGGGTATTTTCTTTTTTTTCTTTTTTTTTAGTGACGGGTATTTTCATTGACTGTGAACCTTTTGAAGGATTTAGAGGGGGAAGGGACCTTGTGGATTTAGTCTACAGTCCCAATCCTCCATTTTAAGACCTTAGGCACCAGAGGCTAAGCCCGAAGTCATGGGAGCTCCAGCTATGCCAGGGCAATTACCACTATGTGCAGAAGACCTGTGTGATTGCAAAGCATCCTTCCAAGCTTTGGGGATGGGGTCCAGGCCTAAGGAGGGGTGGCATGTTAGCATGGAAGATGGCTGGGATGGGAGTCGGGGACCTGGGTTCACTAGCTTTGCCACATGGTACTTGTGTGACCTTAGGCAAATCACTTCCCTTGCTTTAGTTTCCTCATCTATTAAATGGGCGAGTTGGGTCAGATGACCTCTGTGGAAATGCATGAAATTACAGGAGTCAGGGCTGGCTATACACTGTGGGTAGACATGTGCCCAAGTCTGAGTAAATAGGGGGACTCCAGAAAGCCCCAGCACCTTGGCAAACCCTGGGGAGACCCATTCTGCCAATGGTAGTTTGGGATTCCTAAAGGGAAAAAAAGCACCATGTTTCCCTTTATTTAGGCCTTTCTCTCTTCTTAACCTACACAGAACTGTGGTAGAATGTTAGAGTCAGAAGGGCTTGGAACATAGATTGTGACAGTCAAAACAGACCTTAGAGCTTAGAACATGAAAAGTCAGAGCTGGGAAGGACCTTAGAACACAAAATATTAGAGATGGAAAGGAAGTTCGGACCTAGAATGTCAAGAACTGGGAAGGACCTTAGAACACAAAATATCAGAGCTTGGAGGGCCCTCAGAACACAGAATGTCAAGAGCTGGGATGGGTCATAGAACACAGAATGTCAGAGCTGGAAGAGAACTTAGACCAGGAGTTCTCAAAGTGTGGTCCTGAGACCCTTCCCCATGTGGTCACATAATAATACTAAGATGTGTTCATTTCTAATGTGGCAAATATCAATAGAACCCACAGAAACAAAAGTTCTTTGATCATTTTTAATAAAGGGGTCGCTCCTAGGACCAAAAATGTTGAGAACCACTGTCTTGGGCAATAAACTATCAGAGCTGGGAATTACTTAGACCACTGAATGTTAGAGGTGGAGGTGTCTTTACAGACCATCCAGTCTAACTCCCTTATTTACAGATGAGGAAACTGAGTCCAGAAGGAAGTCTTTTGCCCTAGATCACACATCCAGGTAGAGTCAGGGACTAGGAATCTCAGCCTTCTGCCCCTTTCCATCCCTGTGAGAAAAGGGGTTTTTCCAAGAATCCACAGGCAGAGATGGCCCCTTCTAGAGATCAATGATGGTTAACAAATGAAATTACCACAGTTTATTAAAAATAACAATAATAAATCCTTTATTCAAAATCGGTGACACAAAAAGTCTGAGATGAACAATGTAAGAGAGTGCCCCCATAATGCCTCCCAGAACCACGGAGCCAGTCATGTCTGCAAGGGAAACTGGTACAATGACCCAGGGCCCCACATATCATCCATGCTCTTCTAACAGCTGGGTGCCGCCCCATCAGGGTCCCCTCCTATCTTTTGTTTCCCCTTTCAGGAGAATCTAAATGTTCCCTGAGAACTCCGGGAGATAGGTAAGCCTTTAAGCTCCTAAAGGATTTCTCATGGTAGAATATTGGGCTCTGGGACAGACCATGGGGAGAGAGCATTTTTGGTGGCGCAATACCCTGCCAAGATGCTCCTTAATGTCTTGCCTCACTACCCCCAGGGTCACATAAACCTACAAATATCCCTTCCCTTTCCTTCCTCCTCCTGGGCAAGAGAACTCCTCTGAGCTGGTGAAATCAGAACTGGCTGGAGGGGATAGATGGTAGACAGGGAAGGGTTACCCACATGTCCCTACTTTCCCTTTCCCCTTTCTTCCTTTCCCTGACCTGAGCACTGGGGAAAACATCTTCCTATTTTCTATGGAGGGGGACAGAACCCTGGCTTTACTTACCCAACCCTGGGTTAACCTTCCTGTCTAGTAACCCCAACCCTGCCCCCTTTCTCTCTCCTTCACCTTCACTGTCCCATGGCCAGGGTTCAAGGACCAGCTCCAGAGATAGCCCAGCCTGAATAATCTCTGAGCCCAGAGGCTTCTTCCTTTGGCCTCATGGAAGACACACAATCCCTGGCTTCTGGACACCATAAGCTTTCCTAGGTAAACTTGAGGGCAGACACTGATTCCTCTGTGTAAGGTCCAACACAAAGAAAGGGGTCAGGAAATGTTTGTTAAATGAATAAATGATAGGGAAAAGATAGCCTGGCCCTTAGAGGAGCACCCCCCCCCCCCCATATTGGATGGGGTAGATATAGTCCTTGTCTTGGGGGAAGGGGGTAGGGGTAGAGAATCAATTTTCAGTCCGTTAGGTGAGCGTCTGGCATGGCGAGTTCCAAGTCCTATACGATGCTGAGCAAAGAAAAACAGCCAAGACTAGCTTCTCGACTGGCATTGTCACACTGGTGACAATGTGGAATCAGAAATAGTGACCCAAGAACAGGGGCGGTCCTGGACACAGCTGGAAAGTCGACCACCGACCTTCCCAGTGTCCCCTCCCCAATTGCCACTGTGTCGGAATGACCCCAAATTTGAGCGAGTCCTGTGCCAGGAGGTGGTCTGCAGGAGGAAGTCATGATCAAGCAAGCCCCTGGATCCCTGATCCTCTGAGCTCACCACAGATCCAAGTGCCAGCTAACGATCTGCTTCGATGGGAATGGCCCAAGCCCAGACAGGGCAGGGTACTGGGGGGTGGGGTCAGTCTTGTGAAAGTTTCACAGAACTGGCCAAGAGGAGTCCAGCTTTGGAGCCTTCAACTTCAGGGACGCCATCCTGGGGAGAGAGAATTTTGATGAACCTTGGTTCCTGCCATCTACCTCCCAAGTCCAGTGGTTTCTGATCGTCCCCCTGGGCCCGGAAGCCAGGAGAGTAAGCTGACACCGCAGCCACCCCGTTCTCCCCAATTCACACACACAACCAGGAACCCCTCAGAAAGTTCCAGGAGAATCCTGGTGCATCTCATTTCAGCGAGCAGAGCTCCCTCACCCAGTGACTTACCCAGCTCTGCTCCTCGGCATATGGAGCCATGCTCACTTCCGCCTGAGAGAAGGTGGGAGGTGATCGGATGTCCTCAATCCGGCTGTCTGTCAGGGATGTGGTTCTTTTTGATTTCCCCTGGGGCTGGCTGGGAAGGGGGATCTGTGGATGTGTGGAAGGACAGGAGTTGGTGAAA